AAAAAATTGAGTGTGGAAACTGTTTCCCAACTGTCAGGTAGATCAGGTAATAATGCAACACAGATTCCAGCCGAGATTCCAAAGGTGATGGTGAAATTGATCATTGAAGCAAAATCCTAGGCTGTTAGTCTTCAGACGCTGATACCCTAGATGATATTTTTCGAATTTAGAAATCAAAAGAGGGAGTAATAGATTTATTTAGATAGAGGAAATATACTATTCTCGTGTCTTAGTCAATAGGGAGAACTTCAACATGCAGTATTTTACAAGTACCTGAATCATCAACGGTCCCTGTATTCTTTTAGACACCAGGTTTAATTGATTTGGTTTTTAAGTGAACTCATAGTGAAGGCAGGTGTTTCAACAAAGGATATTGAAGGTATGGTATGTAGAAATAAAAATCATTGGATTGACTGCTCTAGCTGGTGTTGATAAATCTAAAAATGAAAATGTTTTTATTTGTGGAGCCAAGAAACTAGCTGTCCTTTCCTCATCAAAAAAAGGAGCTGTCCCAGTTTTCAAAAGTGTCCTCAGGCCTTGTGTTTGAATGATGCAAGGAAAAGAAACACAAGAAGTAATGATCAGGTAGAAGCTGTGATAGATGTGTTTGAAATGTGGAATCAGCCTTTACAAAATGGATTTGTTACAGGTTCATGCGTGGAAGCCAATGGGCAGTTAGTTGCATTCATAGGACCATTTCAGGCATTTATCTCTTCCAAACCGAGAAAATACAGAATAAAATTTTGAGTTAGAGAGGATTAGATTCTTATTAGAATTTCTGGTCAATTGTTTCACTGTGCCTTTTTTTCTGAAAAGTATTTTCAAAGTTTCTTGTAAAAAATGAAAAGCTCCATTAGATGCGAATGGTGAATGACAGTGACTCTATTTCCTGTTACCGAAGGCTAAGAATATGAAAACTTTGTAAACCAGCAGTTCATGAGAAGTGTGTCTTCTGGCTGTAGACAGCAAAGAAAGTAACTCACAGGCCCATCCAGAGACCTGGGTAAAGATGTTCGCTGCCACAGTACTTGTGGTAGCAGGGATCTAGAAACCATTTCTGGAGGATGGAGAGATAAAAAAGAATGACACGTGAACGCCATAGAATTCACAGATTAAATGTAATAAAAATGGAATGAAATCTATGACAGAATACCATTTGTGTAAAGTTAAAATGTGCTCATGGACACAAAAATACTCCTTTCGTGAGAACTCAGACAAAGAGATACTGTTAAACGCATTCAGGTGGCTGAGGAGGGGATGTGGAAGGGGAATGGATAAGAAGGATAAAAGAGAGAATGGGAGGCATGAATGGATGCAAACCTAGTAAGAGCAGAACCATGAGTCAGCTCATCTCTCTGCACCTGATTGAGCAACAACAAAATGAGAAAAATAAGAGAAAATAGTAAGGAGCTGCCCAAGTGACTCTCGGATGTAACCAGGGATGAAAACTACATTGTAGACCATGGTAAGGACGTGCGATTATGCTCTGATTGGAAAGGGGAGCCATTGGAAGCCCTTCCAAAGGGCTACACTGGGTATGGTGGGGAAAGCGGACTGTCATCAGGTCCAGGACTGAAATCAAGAGACGAAATAGGAAACCTTTGCAGTGTTCCAGGTGAGCAGTGATGGTGGCTTGGTTCAAGTTGTAGAGATGGAGGCAGTGGTGAATAGTCAGACTCCGGATAGATTTTGAAGGTAGAAGTGACAGATTTTATTCCTGGGTTGAATAAGAGATGAATAAGGAGTCAAAGACTGACTGCAAGGCTTAGGGCTTGGGCAGCTGAAAAAAAGCGATGGAGGGTTTTGTTTGTTTGTTTGTTTGTTTAAATTGGGGAAGATGCTGAGAGGAGTAGAGTAGGATTTGTCTGTGGTGGACGGAGTGTCAAGAGTTTGATTTTAGATGTATTAACTCTAAAGTAACAATTAGTTATCTAAGGTTGAGAAATCAAGGTGGCAGCTGGCAGAATGATAACGGTTCTGGGGGGAGATGAAAGACAATGGTAAATTTGAGAGTTCTCAGCAAAAACACAGCATTTAAAATCATGCACCTGAGGTTCTAGATGATAATTACAGATAGGAAAAAGGGAAAGATGGAGATCCTTTGATGTCTAAGTGTTACTGAGTGCCTTTCCCCAGACTCTTAAAGGTCTCTGTGCAAAGTAAAACAAAACCAGATAATAGGGAGGAGAAGGAGGAGGTGGGGTTATCGACATTTTTTTGATAGGATACATAGCTTTAGGTTGACTTCTCTGGGATTTCATTTCCATTATTGATAAACTCTTGATTTGTATCACTTGATTATAGCAAAAACTCTTGCATTCATATTCATGAAGACCCAGAACGTCCCACCTGAGCAATTTCTCACAATTTAGTTTGTCTGTGATCTGTATGGATTTCTGAACCTAGGAAAGTTTGTCATAATGTAATTCCTACAAGGCAATCTTGAAAATGTTCAAAGCTAGAGATAGTGTTGTGCTAGAGATTACAATGAATGTGTGGATTTGGAACTTTACCATTTGTGTGATCTCTCCTCTGCAAAGGAATTCTTGCTCAGGCACAGACAATTTTAAGCTCCTGTGTTGCTTTGCAGACAACCGAGTGGGCAACTGCTACCTGAAGTTCGGTCCTCGAGGAGACGGAAGTCTGTCCTGCAACACCGAGATCGGAGTGGGCGTCAGTCGCTCCTCGTGCTGCTGCTCCCTGGGGAAGGCCTGGGGGAACCCCTGCGAGACGTGCCCCCCTGTCAACAGCAGTGAGTATGGAGCTGAGGAAGAGGAAGGGAACAAACCGGCGGCTGAAAACTCGTCGCCATTTTACTCTTGTGCCGGGGTTCGGGGGCCATGGCGAGGGATCCAAGTTTGATTTTGAACTGTTTTCAGTGATTATGCTGAAACCAGCCAAGAATGTTTTATATGAAAGGAATTACATTTGCTCTTTTGTTTTTCTATGATACGATAAAAAGAAAAAAACAATTTTTAACCACAATCCAATGTGAATGGTGATGTGATCAGTCCTCTGTGGTATCACCAAGAAAGAACCATTTCTGAGACTGTCTCAGAGTGGGTGGGAGTTCGAGTTCCTAGACATGGTGTATTCCTCATGTCACTTAAATGCTGTCTGAAGTTGAGACGTGTGTCCCGATAGAGACACAGATGAAACTTTTGAATGGTTTCATTCAAAACGGAATCTTTCCATTTTTTGGTTTTTTGGGGGGTTTTTTTGCTAGCCAAAAAAAGTTCTGATATAAATGGTCTATACTGAAGGGTTTTTTCTTTAATCAAAAACAAATGGTGTTTGTTATTCTCTGTATGCCATTTTTGAAGCAGTGACCTCACTTCAAGTAGAATGTAATATACTTTTAAAATGTATTTGCAAGAGCACTAAGGAAAAAGCAGCTTCCCCCTCTTCGGATGTGTGTTAGAGCCCGGCAGCTGGAAGATGCCTCCTCCTTGTCTCAGCCACTTGAGTCACAGGTGTCACATCTCTCCTCTTCCATTGTTTTGTAGCTGAATATTACACCCTGTGTCCCGGAGGAGAGGGCTTCAGACCTAACCCCATCACAATCATCTTAGAAGGTGAGTGTACCTCTCATTGTCACCCAGATTTAAACAAGGTAAAGAGTTTAGAGAAAAGCTGTTAGAAAAGTTCGTGTAGAGCAATCTGAACAAGAAGATGTTGCAAAATGACAGATGTATAGTCAGTTACCAGGATGCCAAATAAGTACTTGTAACCCAGAAAGATAGGACTCGCGGCAGTGACCTGCCTGCTCTGCATAGAAACTCTGTATTGTCATTAGCAGCTTGCTCCAGTCACTTTTCTCAGATTTTAGCAAATTTGCATGACCAAGCCAAAAACTCCAAGGTCAGAAGAAACCTACCGTCTAAGTGTGAATTCACACAGATGCGTGGGGGTGCGAAGGTTTTTAGAGAATCAAACATTGGAAAGTTCTAAAAGTGACTCTTGTTCTCGACGCTGGTGTGTGTTGTGAGTGATCTGTCTCTCCTTCCACAGATATCGATGAATGCCAGGAGTTGCCAGGTCTCTGCCAGGGAGGAAACTGCATCAACACTTTCGGGAGCTTCCAGTGCGAGTGTCCACAAGGCTACTACCTCAGCGAGGAAACCCGCATCTGTGAAGGTGAGCTGCATGGACACGTACAAGTTATTACCGCTTTTGAGAACAAGATGACCACTCAGGCCTGGAGAAAAGGGCCCATCCTCAAATTCTGCCAAAGGATCTGTTAGCCTGGTTCATAGCTTCAGTGCTGCTCAGTTGGACGATGGTAGATAAATTAATTTCCAGCTCATTTGCTATAATTTACTATTATTTTTCTCTTGAATGCACGAGTTGATTATTAAAAAGCTGGATTTGTGTGCAAACATTCAGTATCAAATAAGTTATTAGTTCAGATGTTGATAAGAGTTATATTTTACATACAGAAAACAGGTAAACCTTAATGCACCTATTAAGTTGCTATTTTTCATCGATTTTTAAATGTTAGAAGACATAGTATGAAGAAGTTCGAAGATTATGCTGATGTCTTTCTTGCATCCATCTCATCCCTTCTTTCATGGCAAGGTAGTCTTCCTCTCAGGGGCCCGTCTCCTCCCCACTGGACTAGGAGCTTCTGGGCAAGAGGCCCATATCTTGATCCTCTTTGTAGCTCCAAGTTCTGAGTTAGGGTAGAATCTCCATGTTTATTTGTGGAATGAATGAATGGATGCTTCTAAAAATGAACATTAAATGTGTAATATTATTTTCATTATAACCTTTCTTATTTTCTTGGTGATCACATTTATTGAAAAGGTTGGAAAAAAATTAAAATGCCCTTCAGCTTAAGAATTTTTGAGTTATCTGCACATCGGTTTCCAGGAGTGTAAAGATCCTTGGTCACTTCTTAATGTTAAAAATTAGGGGAGTTTGTCTTTTGAATGCCTTTTACATATAAAGAGGCAGGTCTACAATGTCTCCTATATTCCATACATGATAAATTTTTTGTTTCAGCCAACTCTTAATGGAGAGGCAACTAGTGCAGCTCCCTGGACATAGAGCATCAGAATATTCCATTTTGTGGACTTATATATCTCTTCATATGTTTCCTTATCGTTTTTTGTATTAGTCATAGTTTCTTCCACATCTCCCAATATCATATTTAAGTGCTGATCATAAGCATGTAATCTGGTTGGGAGCTCTCTTTGGTTTCTGATTTTTGTATAAATTCGCTCATCCAGGCTGTGCCTGATGAGACCCGGGGGCTCTTCTCCGGTGTTGGTAGTTCGTTGCTGGTCTGCGTTGTCTGCCACGTTTCAAACCGCGTTACTTCTCTGACCTCTCGCAAGAGTATGCGAGTCTCTCCCCTGTCTCCAGAAATGTGAAGATGCCATAACCTTTGTTTTAGAAAGTGTTAGGTGAACGCTTCTGGAAGAAGTCTGATTTAATAAAGAGAATAACTGGCACCTTTGAATGGGGTACTTCCTTGAAAGGAGCGATAAAGATAAAGGCTTTCCTCAGAATCAAACCCAGAGAAGCTGATGTTTGCCAGAGGGGAGTGCTGGGAGGATGGGCAAGATGAAGAGACAGAGACTCAGGCTCCCAGTTTCAGGATGAGTGAGCCACGGGAGTCAAAGCCACGGCATAAGGAATCCAGTCCGATACTGCAGTAACACAGTGATGGGACAGAGGGTAGCAGTGAACATGGGGTAATGTATAAACCTGTCAGATCACTCAGTTGTGCGGCTGAAACTGATGGGACACTGTGTGTCAACTGTTCTCAAATTTTAAAAGAAAAAAAAGATAAAATCTTTCCTAACTGTATTCAGTTTAAAGTCTTTCCTAACTGTATTCAAAGTCGGCACTAGTTTAAATGACATAAGAGGACAGTAAGCTTTAAAACAGTTTCATTTGAAGAATATGAAATTTCACTTAAAATTTTCTTTAAAAAATAGGTGCCATTCTCATTATTTCTGCCACTTTAGAAAATTTCTTTTGATCGTCTGTATTTTTTAATATTGGCACTTTTTTTTCTTTGAAAGAAGACACACTTTGTGCCATGTAAATGCATATTTGGGGGTGTTTTCTGCAGAGTTGGTTTAAATTATGAACTATTTTTTGAAAAATAATGGATTTGGGGAATCAGCCATATACTTTGTTTAGGAGTTTAAATAATGTAAATTCATGGAAAAATAACTTCATTAATTAATGGGTATTCTTGCCTCTTCTAGATATTGATGAGTGTTTTGCACACCCTGGCGTGTGTGGGCCCGGGACCTGCTACAACACCCTGGGAAATTACACCTGCATTTGCCCACCTGAGTACATGCAGGTCAATGGAGGTCACAACTGCATGGGTAGGTAGCAGTCTCGGAGAGGAATTGGGTCACAGTTATTGCCTTCCCAGCCAGCGTCTGGGCCTTTCGTCTGTGGCACTTGTGTCTCGGAATTATTGTTCAGAAAGTTTGGAAATTAAATGTTTATGAGTGATCAGGTGTTTCCAAGTCTTATAAACTGGTCCCATACTGTTTTTTAACTTAGACTCTATGGTTACCTTTTAAAATGCTTAGGTGTGATATGCAAAGTCTCATCACATTACGATTTTCTATTCCTAAATAATTTTTGTTTTCCACATATGTAAAGTAAACGTTATTTTACAAATAATAGAATATTTAAACTATTATGTATTTAATATGTATTACTTTTTAAATTAAACAAATGCCTTTGAGTAGAGAAACAAATACCTGTTAATTTTGTTTCCTGAGAAAATTATAAATGAAATCTCTTGTTTGAAGACAGGAGACGTAGCTGTTAATTGAAAAGTGACTTACAGTCAACTTAAAGAATTATTTTAAGATACCTCCAAATGACTGAGGAATATTTTGGAGTTGTTAATGGAGAAGGTTTGGTGTCTCCCGGTATGTGGACTCCATTATTAGCTGCTTCCTGCTCTGGTTATGATTGGTTGGCTTGTTTTCTGTACGTAGACATGAGAAAAAGCTTTTGCTACCGGAGCTATAATGGAACCACTTGTGAGAATGAATTGCCTTTCAACGTGACAAAGAGGATGTGCTGCTGCACGTACAATGTGGGCAAAGCCTGGAATAAACCCTGTGAACCGTGCCCAACACCCGGAACAGGTGAGCACACACCCTGTGAACTGTGCCCAACACCCGGAAAAGCTGCATGTAAACCATGCCCAACACCCAGAACAGGTGTGCACATGGCTCATGCTTCTGCCGGAAGTGAGGCCGCTGACACACACACACATATGTGACCATGTAGTAAAAAGCAAATGTGTACCAAAACCGCTTCTGAGAACATCAAAGAGCATCTTAAGACCGGTCTCCCAAGCAGCCCTTCTTGGAGTTCAGATACTGATTTCTGGCATATCATTTGGGGAGGATTTTGGATCTTGAAAATAAGCTCCACTGCTAAAGAGATAAAATTTACAGCACTAGTCCATTTAAATTCATTGTTTTGTGCTGTGCTGGTTGATTATTCATTTATTCCCTGAGCAGATGTTTATTGAGCAACTACTGTGTGTCATTGTGCTTGACTCGGAAGGTATAATATTTTTATTTGAAAACTTAGAGTAATGTCAAGTCCATCAAATTCCCTAAGCCTTATTTTAGTTTCAGTCTTGAAAAATATGTAAAAAATGGATTTGAGAGGCCAACGTTGCATTAAAGCAGCCTATTGCCAATGTGTTTCTTATACATTCTTTTCCACAAAGGTATATGAAATTTTTAAGCAGAAAATAAAATTTGTCTTCATATGGTAAAACTTTTCTCACAAGTACACATTCTTTTGAAAGAAAAACTAAAAGAGAATAACTGAAAGAACAAACAAAATGTCCTAAAATTGTTGCTCATTCAGGTTCTTATATAATGTAGAAAATGGTTACCTTTAATAGTTGTATACTATTTAATTGAATTGTTGATGCTAAGCATTGAACCGATAGGACAAATGAACAATGAGTGTGCATTTGATTCAGGTATTGCTTAGGGTATATATATTTAAATGTTCCATTTAATGTGATGATACAATTAATGTGGGAATGAAATGAGAGGTAAGGAGAAAAATGATGAAGAGTGACCTGTGGAGTCTTTCTCCCTGGCTCTAATTTACTGGGCAGATGGATGTTCTTAACTAACTTGCCATCGTTTTCCTAACTTGCCATTGTTTTCCTTCGAAAAAACAAATGGAAACATGTTTACAGTTCTCTAATTTAAAAACTCCCATCATTTAGAAGGTTGCAGATCACTGGTTTGGGGAATTAAATACCACTTTTTGTAAGAGGAAGTAAAGGGCAGGGCTTAGGTGTATTTATACTGTATGCTGTATACTATATAAATACACTGTACTTATAATGAAGCTCTGCTTGTTATTATCTGACCTTTGGTAGATCCTTTTCTCCTTTCTGAAATGGATTCCCAATATATAGAATAGAGATAATATTTAAAATGACAGTAACTCATTCATAGCTTTATAGTAAATGAGAGAATGCATATAAATTATAATTCGTGCATTGCCAGGCAGTTAGACACCATTGAATTGAGCATCTATTTATTGCGTGCCTCTGTGTATGCTGTGGATCCTCAGTGAGTTTTGGTGGATGAAATCCTGAGTTCCTCCTCTGATAGCACTTGGCAGGTAGTATATATACAGTATGTGTTTTACCTGGTACTGTTCTCAGGTTTATTCACATGTGTCACCATGGGCATCAGAAGCAATCTGATTAGAGTAGATATTAGAAAACGGAAATTTTGGGGCACCTGGGTGGCTCAGTTGGTTAAGCACCCAACTCTTGATTTTGTCTCAGGTCATGATCTCAGGGTTCATCAGTTCCAGCCCCACTATCAGTATGAAGCCTGCTTGCATTTCTCTCTCTCTCTCTCTCTCCCTCTCTCTCCCCCTCCCTCCCTCCCTCTCTCCCATCCTCTCTCAATATAAATAAACTTAAAAAATTTCTTTATTAGAATTTTACATTTCTATTAGTTTGGTCAGTTATGAGTAGGGATAACTGTTATAGTTTCTATTTCATTCTATGATGCATTGTTTCCGATGCCTCAAATTTCACATTCAAACAAGACAGACATTTATGTTTAAAAAAATAAGAATTCATGTCTCATTCATTTTTCGTTGTCCATCTGTTTCACACTACAAGACTGTTTTGGCTCACCTCTGCCTGTTTGCAATTTGTAATTCCTTTTTAAATTCCTAACCTAATCTGGTTTTCCTGTGTAAATAAACGACCATTATAAAAGATCCCCATTTCCAGAATCAAAGGAATTTAAATGCCTAAAGTAGATATTTTGAATCTTGTAATGATTTCCTTCTAACACAAGAGCAGTAAAAAGTTAATGATGAAAATAATGGTAAAGAATATCTCGATCTTCTTCTCACAGAAGCTGGTACTATTAGCGAGTAAATATAACTGAAATTAAAATGTCTGCTTATGAGTAATATATTTGTCAGTGCAAGCACTGACAAGATAAAATGTTACTTGAAACGAGTTTGAGAATTTTAAGAGTGCATTTGCTTATATTTTAAAGCTGACTTTAAGACCATATGTGGAAATATCCCTGGATTCACCTTTGACATTCACACTGGAAAAGCTGTTGGTAAGTTCTCCCAGATTATGATTATTTTAATACAGACAGGTAGCATTATGTAGAAGTCTGTTCAAAGTTTAAAGTTCCATAAAATATAATAATCTGGAGTGTCCTCTAATATAGTTAGGCAAGAAAGAACTAACATGTTTACAGACCTGACGCACATGTTAATAATGGTATTACTACGTCAGCATACTCTGCTGATTGAGTTAGGATAGTTCCAGGACTATCTCAAAGTTTCATACATTTCATTAGGTTTCCTTTTCATGAAGACTCTAAATAATCCACTATATTGTAACCTTCACTTGCTCTTTTCATCAAGTATATGTTTATGTTTTTGGTGTATTTTTGCAGTATCCCTTTCTACTGACCTACCTTGGAATTTGCCGGATTATTAATTATTCACATTAATTTTTTCTAAGTGTACTTTCTGTTGTTCATTCTGCTTTTCTTCCTCAAAGATCAAGTAAGCAATATAATTTTAAGTCTCCATTACCAATGTATGTATATAATGAGGTACAGAAAATTAAGGACGCAGAGTTTTCATCATTACAAGAGTAGCAGCAGTTAGGGGAGCCTGAAACATAACTTGAAGAGGAAGCTTGACTCCCTAGGAAGTTTATTTACTACATTGACAGTAAAATCACCTGGTCTATTGATCAGCTACCTATTTTACCAACACTGTTTAAAGAGAAATT